TTCGGGACCTAAGGCGTGGATTTTGTAAACTAATATTTTTTCGGGACCTAAGGCGTGGATTTTGTAAACTAATATTTTTTCGGGACCTAAGGCGTGGATTTTGTAAACTAATATTTTTTCGGGACCTAAGGCGTGGATTTTGTAAACTAATATTTTTTCGGGACCTAAGGCGTGGATTTTGTAAACTATACTTTTGTAGTATACTGGCCATATAAGGCTTTTTGGCTTGGCTTTGAAATGAATAAATAAATAATAATAATAAAAATATTTTTTCGGGACCTAAGGCGTGGATTTTGTAAACTAATATTTTTTCGGGACCTAAGGCGTGGATTTTGTAAACTAAGGCGTGGATTTTGTAATCTAATATTTTTTCGGGACCTAAGGCGTGGATTTTGTAAACTAATATTTTTTCGGGACCTAAGGCGTGGATTTTGTAAACTAATATTTTTTCGGGACCTAAGGCGTGGATTTTGTAAACTAATATTTTTTCGGGGCCTAAGGCGTGGATTTTGTAAACTAATATTTTTCGGGACAGGGGCTAAATAATATTTTTTCCAAGACTATCAGAGGTTGTATAATTTAGAGAATATTTTTCACAAGGCTGTCGGAGGCTGTACCATTTAGAGAATATTTTCCAAGGCTATTGGAGGCTATATCATTCACAGAATATTTTTCCAAGGCTGTCGGAGGCTGTATCATTTAGAAAATATTTTTTCCAAGACTTCCAAGGCTATCAGAGGCTGTATCGTTTAGGGAATATTTTTTCCAAGGCTGTCAGAGGCTGTATCATTTAGAGAATATTTTTTCCAAGACTATTGGATGCTAAAGAATATTTTTTCAATGCTATTGAAGGCTGTCAGAGGCTGAAGAATTTATTTTCAAAACCTATCGAAGGCTGTATCATGTAGAGAATATTTTTTCAAGGCTATCGGAGGCTGAAAAATAATTTTTCCGCAGAATAACTCGGAAGTTTATTTGTCGGCAAGTGCCGACACAGGACATGTTGTAGTCAGACTTGAAGCTAGTCGGTCAACAGGGTCTGCGCTTCCTTCGTTAATGCTACAACAATCCCCCTGTGTAGACTTGGCTGGGCTGGTGTCCAGCTCATCTTCAGTTAGGGTGAGATTCAGTAGCAATTCCTCCTGAAGCGTATCCCCATATTGCTCTTCCGGTATCAGTCTGTCTAACTGGTCCAAGATTTCCTTACTTTGCTCCTCTACACTATCACGGATAGCGTTTCGAGTCCCGTGAGACTGATTTTCATCAGTCTTGACCTGCTCGTTTGCCAAAAGAATAGCCGGTTCGTCAACGTTCGGATTTGTAATTAATGTACTTGTAACAGATACAGCTGCAGGTGCCAAGACATCCCTTAAGACGTTATAGAATTTTTCTATTTATATGTAAGTTTTTCTATTCACACGTAGGACAATTTTTTTAATTTATATGGAAGACTACTTTATTTATATAGAGAACCATTTGGGTCCTCTATTCGTCTTACTTCTCACAATTACATTTATTATTTCTAAGTCCTAATTGTTTATCGGATTTACTTACCTTTTTATTCTACTGTTAACCTAACTTATTTTCACATCCCCTTCCTCTTCATCATCCCTCGCCGTCAACTCTTCTCATAATGACAAAACTGCAGTTAAATATTGTTCTAGGACAGCTTGTGATAGGGTGGAACCATTCTCTATGGCCAAAGCATAGGCCGTATCACCATTTTCATTTGTCGCCGTCATATCCGGGTCACGGGATAATATCTCATTACAAGTATGCGGATGATTACCAGCAGCGGCATACATTAAAGCTGTATTACCCACAATATCCATATGTGTAGATTCAGCACCCTTATCCAAAAGTAGCCGGACAACTTCATGATGACCACCCGAGGCGGCAAGTATTAAAGGGGTAACCATTTCCGGGGCCTCTTCATTGATATTGGCCCCGGCCTCAACTAATGATTGCACTGTGGCAAATTGGCCATAGTAACAGGCCTAAAAGAGAGAGAGCAATTTTGAAATGTATTATCGAAAAAAATTTGAAAATCTAAATTTCCGACTTACCCAATGCAAAGGTGTAAACCCGAAACTATCTTTAAAGTCGATATTTATGGCTTTCTGCTGTAAAATTTGTTCATCTGTCAGTTCACCTTGTCCGGCCCGTTCATGAAATGATAGTTTGACTTCAACGGGACAAAATGTGGCTTCTGTATTACCTCTTTGAAGATTGGTGAGGACGGTGGTCTGTATATATCAGGAGGCTATATCATTCACAGAATATTTTTCCAAGGCTGTCGGAGGCTGTATCATTTAGAAAATATTTTTTCCAAGACTGTCAGAGGCCAAAGATTATTTTTCCAAGGCTATCAGAGGCTGTATCGTTTAGGGAATATTTTTTCCAAGGCTGTCAGAGGCTGTATCATTTAGAGAATATTTTTTCCAAGACTATTGGATGCTAAAGAATATTTTTTCAATGCTATTGAAGGCTGTCAGAGGCTGAAGAATTTATTTTCAAAACCTATCGAAGGCTGTATCATGTAGAGAATATTTTTTCAAGGCTATCGGAGGCTGAAAAATAATTTTTCCGCAGAATAACTCGGAAGTTTATTTGTCGGCAAGTGCCGACACAGGACATGTTGTAGTCAGACTTGAAGCTAGTCGGTCAACAGGGTCTGCGCTTCCTTCGTTAATGCTACAACAATCCCCCTGTGTAGACTTGGCTGGGCTGGTGTCCAGCTCATCTTCAGTTAGGGTGAGATTCAGTAGCAATTCCTCCTGAAGCGTATCCCCATATTGCTCTTCCGGTATCAGTCTGTCTAACTGGTCCAAGATTTCCTTACTTTGCTCCTCTACACTATCACGGATAGCGTTTCGAGTCCCGTGAGACTGATTTTCATCAGTCTTGACCTGCTCGTTTGCCAAAAGAATAGCCGGTTCGTCAACGTTCGGATTTGTAATTAATGTACTTGTAACAGATACAGCTGCAGGTGCCAAGACATCCCTTAAGACGTTATAGAATTTTTCTATTTATATGTAAGTTTTTCTATTCACACGTAGGACAATTTTTTTAATTTATATGGAAGACTACTTTATTTATATAGAGAACCATTTGGGTCCTCTATTCGTCTTACTTCTCACAATTACATTTATTATTTCTAAGTCCTAATTGTTTATCGGATTTACTTACCTTTTTATTCTACTGTTAACCTAACTTATTTTCACATCCCCTTCCTCTTCATCATCCCTCGCCGTCAACTCTTCTCATAATGACAAAACTGCAGTTAAATATTGTTCTAGGACAGCTTGTGATAGGGTGGAACCATTCTCTATGGCCAAAGCATAGGCCGTATCACCATTTTCATTTGTCGCCGTCATATCCGGGTCACGGGATAATATCTCATTACAAGTATGCGGATGATTACCAGCAGCGGCATACATTAAAGCTGTATTACCCACAATATCCATATGTGTAGATTCAGCACCCTTATCCAAAAGTAGCCGGACAACTTCATGATGACCACCCGAGGCGGCAAGTATTAAAGGGGTAACCATTTCCGGGGCCTCTTCATTGATATTGGCCCCGGCCTCAACTAATGATTGCACTGTGGCAAATTGGCCATAGTAACAGGCCTAAAAGAGAGAGAGCAATTTTGAAATGTATTATCGAAAAAAATTTGAAAATCTAAATTTCCGACTTACCCAATGCAAAGGTGTAAACCCGAAACTATCTTTAAAGTCGATATTTATGGCTTTCTGCTGTAAAATTTGTTCATCTGTCAGTTCACCTTGTCCGGCCCGTTCATGAAATGATAGTTTGACTTCAACGGGACAAAATGTGGCTTCTGTATTACCTCTTTGAAGATTGGTGAGGACGGTGGTCTGTGGTCGATATGGTAGAAAGGCGGATTTATGTTTACCCGTTTGCCCCGAAGCTGAATGATCGTGTAGGAAACTCGAAGAATGCAATGAGTTGGGAGTGGACAGAGGTGTTGAGGTGATGGTATTTGGGGAAGGTGTATCGGTTTGGCGTTGTGACTCTTGGCTAGCTTGTGTAGATTGTGACATGATTATTCTGAAACAATAGAACATATTTTTTAAATAATTTTTAAGGTGTCCAAAAGTCGTAGATTTTGTAAATATTTTTTATGGAGTTCAACAAGGGCGTAGATTCCTGTAAGGCAATAATATCGGCTTTGTACTTCTTGAGTACATCTGCCAAAGCGAGAACTGCGCCTGTTCTGTACAACGTCCGAACATTCCAAGTGCAGATTCGCAGATAGTGGTCCTTTATACGTTTGCGGGGGTTGTCAACATTAGCGGGTTTGGTTTTTTCTTTGCTTTTTCATAGTAGGAGGGGTTTTCCGAATGTGGGCAACTAACCCGACACCTCAACTCTTTTTTTTATAGTTCTTATTGGTGAACTAGCGGCACATATTAGCTCACTACTTCAACGGTGTCTACAATTGAGATGAAAGAGGGTCCAAGATAAGCTTGGACTTAACCATGTTAAAGCCAATCAGAGCCGATGCTTGGTATCTATCATCCCCTACGCCACGCTTTATGTAGGTCCAGAAAAATATCCTTAAAAAATCCACCCACGCCTTATGTAGGTCCCGAAAAAATATCCTTTAAAATCCACCCACGCCTTATGTAAGTCCCGAAAAATATCCTTAAAAAATCCACCCACGCCTTATGTAGCTCCCGAAAAAATATCCTTAAAAAAATCCACCCACGCCTTCTGTAGCTCCCGAAAAAATATTTGTTTACAAATCCACGCCTTGTTCAGATGCGGGAAAATTCTTCTTTAAAAATCCACGCCTTGTTCAGATGCGGGAAAATTCTTCTTTACAAATCCACGCCTTGTTCAGATGCGGGAAAATTCTTCTTTACAAATCCACGCCTTGTTCAGATGCGGGAAAATTCTTCTTTACAAATCCACGCCTTGTTCAGATGCGGGAAAATTCTTCTTTACAAATCCACGCCTTGTTCAGATGCGGGAAAATTCTTCTTTACAAATCCACGCCTTGTCCAGATGCGGGAAAATTCTTCTTCACAAATCCACGCCTTGTTCAGATGCGGGAAAATTCTTCTTTACAAATCCACGCCTTGTTCAGATACGGGAAAATTCTTCTTTACAAATCCACGCCTTGTTTAGATGCGGGAAAATTCTTCTTTACAAATCCACGCCTTGTTCAGATGCGGGAAAATTCTTCTTTACAAATCCACGCCTCGTTCAGATGCGGGAAAATTCTTCTTTACAAATCCACGCCTTGTTTAGATGCGGGAAAATTCTTCTTTACAAATCCACGCCTTGTTTAGATGCGGAAAAATTCTTCTTTACAAATCCACGCCTTGTTTAGATGCGGAAAAAATCTTCTTTACAAATCCATGCCTTGTCTAGATGCGGAAAAAATCGTCTTTACAAATCCACGCCTTGTTCAGATGCGGGAAAATTCTTCTTTACAAATCCAAGCCTTGTTCAGATGCGGGAAAATTCTTCTTTACAAATCCACGCCTCGTTCAGATGCGGGAAAATTCTTCTTTACAAATCCACGCCTTGTTTAGATGCGGGAAAATTCTTCTTTACAAATCCACGCCTTGTTTAGATGCGGAAAAATTCTTCTTTACAAATCCACGCCTTGTTCAGATGCGGGAAAATTCTTCTTTACAAATCCACGCCTCGTTCAGATGCGGGAAAATTCTTCTTTACAAATCCACGCCTTGTTTAGATGCGGGAAAATTCTTCTTTACAAATCCACGCCTTGTTTAGATGCGGAAAAATTCTTCTTTACAAATCCACGCCTTGTTTAGATGCGGAAAAAATCTTCTTTACAAATCCATGCCTTGTCTAGATGCGGAAAAAATCGTCTTTACAAATCCACGCCTTGTTTAGATACGGAAAAAATCTTCTTTACAAACCCACGCCTTGTCTAGATGCGGAAAAATTCTTCTTTACAAATGCACGCCTTGTTTAGATGCGGAAAAAATCTTCTTTACAAATCCACGCCTTGTTTAGATGCGGAAAAATTCTTCTTTACACATCCACGTCTTGTTTAGATGCGGAAAAATTCTTCTTTACAAATCCAAGCCTTGTTTAGATGGGGAAAAAATCTTCTTTAAAAAATCCACGCCTTACGTAGTCTCGAAAAAATATTCGTTAATAAATCTACTCTTTATGTATTCATTTAAAAAATCCACAACTTATGGAGATTGGAGCCCTGTAATACCATAGACAGACGACAGCCTTAATTTGCATTAAAAAGTTCTTAATTTCAATTAAAATTTACCCCTGACAGACGAGAGTTTCTTCATTTATGAACCAGTTTTTTGTTTCAAAACAATTGTTTGTCTGTGTGTAGGAAGAAAATATTGACATTTGTTTACAATATTTTTTAGGATTACATCTTTTTGAAATTGATACATGGCAGGAAGGAAAACTAACAGCTATAATGAAGATAAAACAGCTCCAAATTTGAAGAAATGTTGAATTTTTCCTTTATTTCTAATTCTTATTTTCGTAAACATAAACAAATTTGACAACAATCAATTTATTTTCTACAGCATTGCCATATTGAAATTGCTTAATTCAGTATAAATTCAGTTTGATTTTGTGCATTAACAACACATAAAAATGAGGATAATGTACAAGTTAATTTGAATTAAGGCTGTTAATGCAAATTAAAACTGTCGTCTGTCTAGGCTATAAGAAATTCTTCTTTTAAAAAATCCCCTTTGAAAGCATTTTTGTCTGGCAATGATGTGCTCCACCTTCTATGAAGCCGTGTGGCAACATTCCGCCTTTTCAACAATTTTTTTTTGTTTTCTTATTTCTTATTGGATACATGCTGAGCCGAAACCACACAACAGAACAGCTGTATTAACCGGCAAATTGCGCACATTGAATTGTTGTTGCTGTTTTTGTACGGGGACAGTACAATAACAAAAAAAAAATGGTTCTATGGTGTTTTGGGTGGCAAAGAGGGGGTAACATTTATTACCCACCGGTCAATTCATGTCTCAACAAAACAGAGACTTCCCCGCCATTTCTTTTTTCGTTTGTCAAATTGGAATTGCGTTTCAGGTGAACTTTTCACTCCGCAATGGAGCCTTCGCCGCTCTTCTCATCACCGTTGTTTGTTGTTTTTGTTTTGCTAGAATTCTTTTACTACGCCTTTTTTACGTTCTGCACTCTTTTACTACTGTCGGTGTGTGTGTATGTGTGTGTCTGTGAGTGCGTACGAATGTGTGGTTCTCCTGGCCTGGTGTGTAAACAAGAAATGTGTTTAGGGCGGCGTTGGAATTTTTTTCCGCGTCACATTCCATAACAAAAAAAATTTCTTATTTTTGATTGGATTTTTTCTTCTTCTTCTTATTGATGACTTACCTTTTGTTGTGGAGAACAAAATGTTCGCATTTATTGTGTGGAGATTTTCACGGTGGGGATTTTAAACAGCTTAAAATCCAATATTTATTTTCGTCGTCAGTTGGGTTCTCTTATTTTTGTTTGGACACACACACCGCGAACGCCAAAAACAAAATTCGCAATGAATTCCAATTGTATACAAAAAAAAAATAAATGAGAGGTATGTGGATTGCAACATTGCAGGGTTGTATTTTTGGTCGTGGAGGGAATTTTTTGTGCAATGTTGTACAGTCAGAATGTGTATTGTACTGTACTGTACCATATAAATAGAATCCAAGTTGACACATGGGGATATTTTCAAATAGGAATTTGTTGCGAATTGTTTAAAGAATTATATTTACCAAGGCTCCACCATAATCTGGAAAAGACGTGGATAAAAAATTTAAAGGGTCTATTAACAGACGTGGATTTAAAAAAATGTAAAGGGTCTTACAACTGGCGCTATATGCCAAATCTGGTCTTGTTCCCAACATTAGATACATGAGAGCACAATTGCTTGCCAATATGGAAATTCAATTGTTGCTTTCCCTCCTCTTGTATCACATTTGATTGTGTTTTCTATTGGCGCTGAAACTGGTCTGTACTCTGAGAAATTAAATTTCTCCAGAATTTTCTTTGCATGGGTTTTCTGTGATATTTTGATTTGATCATGGCTGTTTTCTATTTCGATACCAAGAAAGTATGATGCGTCATTGCTAAAGATTTTGAACTCCGATTTTAAATTCTTAAGGAAATAGTCCAATTGCTGCTTCGGACCATTCCATTTGGTCAGCTTTTTACCACATTTCTCTATAATATATAAACAACTGTCTGCGGAAATGGTTTTAAACCCAAGCTTCTTAAGGAAATTTTCCATTTGTTGGTTCCAGCATCTGGGGGCTTGTATCAAACCTCATAGACCTCGTTTTAAAAGGCAAACTCTATTTGTGCCTTCATTAAAGCCATCAGGTTGTTCCATGGTAAACTGTCTCGTTCAGTTCACCATAGCTGTAGCTACATCGAATTGTGACAAATGTGATCCTTCAGTTGCAGCAATACTCAAAACTGACAGACAGTCTTGCTACTGGACTGAATGTTTCATCGAGCCTAATCCTTCTTTTTGTTTAAATCATTTTATAACCAATCTTGCCTTGTCCTTCCCAATACTGCCATCTGCTGTTGTTTTGACTCGATAAACCCATTTCGACGGGAGTGCCTTCGCTCCTTTGGGAAGATTCGAGAGTACGCAGATATTGTTTTCCATCAATGAGTTCATCTCTAATTTCATGGTTCCAATCGTTTCTCTCTGTACTTTCAACAGCTTCCGAAAAAGTTGATGGAGGTTCGAGGTTCATAACTGACACAATTTGAAACTATAATAGTTCCATTCCTCAACCTTTTTACATTAATATTATCATATGTGTCATCTAAGGCATCTCTATTACGTTTTCCAGTTTGTATTTCTTCAAAATCTTCCATATTAGATGTAGAATCTTGGGCCTGATTGTCACTTTCATTGTCTTGCTGTTCGACCTCTATATCCGCTTTCTCTAGTACTGTTTCCGGAGGGTATACATCTTGCACCTCATCTTCTGAACTGTCGTTTAGACGAATTCGTATAGGTATTTCATCCCCTTGCGTTTTTTTCAATATTAGTGGAAATCTTATTATGTAGCTTTTCCAAAATTTCTTGTTCTTACAAACTTTAATTTCTTTTCTTCCTTTCTAAAATTACAACTTTTAATTTCTTCTGAAAATATCACATCTCTGGATATTTCTACGGTATTTCCTCTTTGATTTAGACACGATATATCTCTTCGCCGTCATATTCAACAAGATATTCAATTATTGCCTTTCTATCCATATTCTTCCGGCGTTGACTGGGAGTATGATTATATACGATTATACTTGGGCGTCTTGTTCGCGGCTTCTTTCCATACCATAACTCGAATGGACATTTATTCTCTATAGATGATTTTCCTGTTCCATATACATAATATGGCTGATTTGACAAATTCTGCACAAAATGATTTTGGAAATTCTACATCCTTGTTTGAGCTAATAAATGTTCTAGCCATGGTTCTATTTTCTCTCTCAGCACCACCATTCTGTTGAGGTGTATATGGAGCGGTGAACTTTTGACTCACTCCATGTTTCGCTAGAATTTCCTTCGCCTCTGCATTGGTAAATTCACCACCATAGTCACTGAGCAATGTGTTTATGTTATGTCCTTAGGATCTGACTTGAGCAACCATTTCTACCAATGTATCGTTAACATCAGATTTTTTCTTCACGATATAACCGTATCTAAATTTTGTGAAGTCGTCCTTATAAACGACTATATACATATATCATCTAAATGATGATGGAAATGGTCCGCAAACATCGGTCGATATTAACTCTCCTGGTGACTTTGCAGTTTCGCCAAATGGTAATCTTGATGACTTACCAAAATGCAAGGCTTACAGATTTCATTGTTTTTCTTTACCCTTATTCCCATCTCGTTTTCTAGTTTCTTCTTAACGTATTGCTTATCTTGGTGTACCCATCTTTCATGATATAATTACATAATCCGCAAACATCGGTCGATATTAACTCTCCTGGTGATTTTGCAGTTTCGCCAAATGGTAATTTTGATGACTTACCAAAAATTCAAGGCTTACAGATTTCATTGTTTTTCTTTACCCTTATTCCCATCTCGTTTTCTAGTTTCTTCTTAACGTACTGTTTATCTTGGTGTCCCCATCGTTCATGATTGCAGCTTCGACTTTTCTATTGAACTTGAAGCACATTGATATACAGACATCTGATGAAAATCAGCTCTATATAATGTTCCATTTGCCTCTCTATGTCCACATAAAACCGTTTCTCCATTTACATCAAACTGACATTCATTTATTGTAGAATAAAACTTACTTGATGGATTTCTATCGTGTGAGGCCAACACAGAAAAAAAATTTCTGGATATACCAGGAACATACATCATAAAGTTTTACTGTCTTCTCGACATAATTTTCAACAAAAATTGAATTGTACCTTTTCCCATTGCATGTAAAGTCTATTTGCCTGCAGCTTGTGTAGAATGAGATTCTTTGAAAGATTCGTAGTCGATAAAGAATTCTTTTGAATTTGTTACATGCCTTGTTGCACCATTGTCAATTCACCAATCATTGACATATATGCTCAAATTAACTTCATTCGTTACAGAATGGAACGATGGTTTTGGCTTACTGATAGCTTTGACTTGCATGGTTTTCCATCAGCTATCCACTTCTTGCAGTCTTTAATCCAATGCCGCTTTGCAAAAGGGTCCATTTATTTTACGCCTGCCTGAGATTCTTGAAAAAATATTTTTAAAAATGCATGCCTTTGATTCGACCTAAAAAAATTTAAAAAAAATCCCCGCCTAGTTTAGGGCTTCAAAAAAAAAAATATTTTTTTCACATAATCTACGACACCTCGGCGACTAAATCCACACGTAGAAAACCAAAAATACAACCCTGTATTGTAATAAAACTACCACTTATATACAACACTGAGCTGTCAACTTGAAATCAGTTGTTCGCAGATTGGTTGAATTATATTGAAAAACGACGATTGGATTCCAATACAAATCTCCGCCACAATGAATAATATACCAAACGGTATTATTTCACACACACGCCGTGTCCAAAGCCTATACAAGAGGGCTTTGCGTAATTGCGAGGCCTGGTATGATCGCAGGTAAGGATAATGGAATCCACAAATGAAAACTATTCTCTGTACCGAAAAGGTTATGTAATTTGGATTCATCTTATTTTGTTTTTCTTTAGAGAAATCTACCGCTATCGTGCCGTACAATTGCGTCAACGCTTCGAGGAGAATCGCAATGTGACGGATATGGCCAAGGCTGTGAAATTGTTGGCTGCCGGTGAACAGGAATTGTTCAATACTCAGCATTATCAACCCATTAAATGTAAGTTGGTGTTGTTGTTTTTTTATTTCTTTCATTCATTGTTTTTTTTTGTTATTGTTTGTTGTTTTTAGTGGCCAACAGTCCCGGTGGCTGTGCCTTTGAACGTGAGGTTGAGGCTCCCGATTGGGTCTTGGACTACTGGCATCCCTTGGAAAAGGCTCAATATCCCGAATATTTTGCCCAACGTGAACAACGTAAAAAGGAATTCGTTGCCTGGTGGGAGAAACAATACGGCAAACCTGATCCCAAGGATTTGCATCATTAGGAGGGTGGTGCCATTACCCTGTTGAGAGGCGGCAATACTGTGTGTTGTGCATGAAGAAGAAAATTGTGTATTGGCGAAAAAAAAGAAACCAAAACTTTAGAAAAAAATTAAAATAAGGAAATTACCTATAAAAACAACAACAACAACAAAAAGGATTTTTTTAATGGTCCAAGGGAACAATGATTCCATGCCTCAGATGGTTGAGAAAAAAATATTATTTAAATAATAGAACTGAGCTTGAGGTGGTCATGAAAATCGAAATCATGCTTTAAAAAATCCTTAAAAAAGATCTAAGGTGATCCTGAAAATCAATAGCATGCTTTAAAAAATCCCCGAAACGAAACATGCCTTAAAAAATATAATTTCTGGGGTCACGTCAGGTGGAGTTAAAAACAGCAAGGAAAGTAGTGAAGTCGGACTGGGCCGACTATAAGATACCCTTCACCACTTTGGGTATTGGGTAAACAGATGTATCGTAACAGACGTCGCATGTTTAAAGGACCAGTAAAATGAAATTGGATCCATAAACATGTCATTCTGCAACCGATATCTAAATCTGAACCGATTTTCACGAAACTTAACACACATCATTCTAGACCTAAATCATTAGGCTATGCAAAATTTCGTGCAAATCGAAAGATATATAGGGGCTTTGGTGCATCATTTACATTAAATCGGACGAAAATATATATGGGAGCTATATCTAAATCTGAACCGATTTTCACGAAACCTAACACATCATTTTAGACCTTAATCATTAGGCTGTGCAAAATTTCGTGCAAATCGAATTTTCGTCCAATTCGGATCATAAATACGACCTGTACTGTTGATAGAAATTTTTAAAAAAATCCACGCCTGTTGATAGACCCTTTAAAATAATTTTTAAAAAAATCCACGCCTGTTGATAGACCCTTTAAAATAATTTTTAAAAAAATCCACGCCTGTTGATAGACCCTTTAAAATAATTTTTAAAAAAATCCACGCCTGTTGATAGACCCTTTAAAATAATTTTTAAAAAAATCCACGCCTGTTGATAGACCCTTTAAAATAATTTTTAAAAAAATCCACGCCTGTTGATAGACCCTTTAAAATAATTTTTAAAAAAATCCACGCCTGTTGATAGACCCTTTAAAATATTTTTTAAAAAAATCCACGCCTGTTGATAGACCCTTTAAAATAATTTTTAAAAAAATCCACGCCTGTTGATAGACCCTTTAAAATAATTTTTAAAAAAATCCACGCCTGTTGATAGACCCTTTAAAATAATTTTTAAAAAAATCCACGCCTGTTGATAGACCCTTTAAAATAATTTTTAAAAAAATCCACGCCTGTTGATAGACCCTTTAAAATAATTTTTAAAAAAATCCACGCCTGTTGATAGACCCTTTAAAATAATTTTTAAAAAAATCCACGCCTGTTGATAGACCCTTTAAAATAATTTTTAAAAAAATCCACGCCTGTTGATAGACCCTTTAAAATAATTTTTAAAAAAATCCACGCCTGTTGATAGACCTTTTAAAATAATTTTTAAAAAAATCCACGCCTGTTGATAGACCCTTTAAAATAATTTTTAAAAAAATCCACGCCTGTTGATAGACCCTTTAAAATAATTTTTAAAAAAATCCACGAATGTTGATAGACCCTTTAAAATAATTTTTAAAAAAATCCACGCCTGTTGATAGACCCTTTAAAATAATTTTTAAAAAAATCCACGCCTTTGGCTAGACCCCACTATAATCGTAATAAAAACACAATTTCATATAGACCTTCAATTCTGTTTATCTTTGTTTTTTTTTATTATTTAAAAAAATTATAAATATTTTTTGTTTGTTTAGAAAGATTTAATTCGAAATTATTCAAATTCTAGCGGCTATTGTACGTTATTATTATTAAATTATTAGTTTTGTGATTCGAATTCAGGCATTGAAAGAGAAATTCAAAATTAAAGAAAACAAAAACAATTGGGATGCTTCTTTGTTTTTTTCATTCTAAACATAAACATACAAAAAAATTGGAAAAAGAAAACAAATGGGCGAAAAAAAATTAAAATAATTTAATTTTGTATGTTTGTATATATGTTTCATATGCGGGAGTGTATTGGTTGTATGACTTCAAAAAATCTATTTTTCATCACGGCCACCAATAATTTTTTTTCCAGTTCCAGCTTTATCTCCATCATCATCATTCGCCTCCCCCCAAACAGCATAAATACAAATTAAGTCTCATTTTCTTCTACTATGTGGGTTTTTTGTTATTCGGTTCTGCATTTATTCCGCCTCCAGACGTGGACGCTTTTTACAATTATTACCCGCACCACCACCACTATTGTTCGCATTACCCTCATTGGCATGATCACGTTTCTTGGGTAGTATCTTCTTATCCCATTGCTGGGTCAAATAGCGGAGCAGTACCGATCGCTTGTCCAGCACTATATGCTGTTCCGAGGGACAATCGTCTGTGGGCAGATAAACGGAAGGTCGTTTTTGTGAGGTACGCATAGCATGCTCGGTATTGAATTGCGAGAAATTCTCAGCATTGTGGCAGGGTAGGCCCTTAATGAAATCGGTTACTGACATTTTTGTGGAGAGGGGTGGTGTGTTTTTAATGTTGTAAATTTGGGGTTGCTGTCAACCACTAAATCAAATCTGTGCTTGATCCAACACGCTGTAAAATTTCCCTGGACTCGAAAGACACCAGGCACCGCACCCAACCAATAAAGCGAGGGGCCAGAGGTTGACGTCTTCTATTTATTTATTATTGCTTAGCTCACTGCTGTCAATAACGAATAGTTGTTGTTCTTTTTTTGTATTGTTGTTGTTTTTATTGTGGTTGCTTGTTCGTCTTCTTCTTCCTCCTCCTCTTTTGACTGGAAAATATAGTTTTGCAGCCACACTAGATTTTCTTTGTATTGTTGTCCCGTGTATGAGGAATTTTCCTTTGTTGTGAAAACGACTTGTTGTTGTTTGTATTTTTATTAATTAACCGGAATTTTATTGCCAAAATATTCGAAATTTTGGAATTAGTTAAATAAAGTCTGCTTTTGTCTTTTGGGGTTCTTCTATTCTTTTGATATTGCTTTGCTAGAGTTGATAAACATGTCGATAGTTTTATCGATATTTTGCCGAGCTTGCATTTGCAATGTTCTATCGATAGTATCGTTGATGTGTGCTTAACAGCTGTGTGCACACACACTGAACATACACCATCTGTTGTGCACACACTGAACATACCCCATCTGTTGTTTAGACATGACAAAATAACAGAAAACTGCTTTAAAAATTGAGAAAAAATATTTTCAATGAATCTAGGCCTTTATTAGGGCTTCCAAAACATATTTTTAAAAAATCCACGCCTTTATAAAGGCCTCAAAATAATATTAAAAAGAAATCAAGCCTTTTTAGGGTTTCCAAATAATATTCTTTAAAAATTCGTTAGGGTGCTCTAAAAATATTTAAAAAAACCACCTGAGGTATCCATTTTCATCACCCGATGAAATAGTGAGCTAATATGTGCCGCGAGTTCGCCCATAAGAGCTATAAAAAATTGGTTGAGGCGTCGGATTAGTTGCCCACAATCGGAAAACCGAACCTACTATTAAAAAGCAAAGAAAAAGAAAACCAAACCCACCTAATGTTGACGACCCCCGCAAACGTATAAAGGACCACGATCTGCGAATCTGCACTTTGAATGTGCGCACCTTGTACAGAACAGGCGCAGTTTTCGCTTTGGCAGATATACTCAAGAAGTACAAAGACGATATTATTGCCTTACAGGAAATGCGATGGAAAGGAACAGGCGTAAGTAAATCAGAGGATTACACACTCAATTGTAGCTGCCATGAAACGAGAAATGAATCTGGCTGCGGATTTATGGTTAACAGGAGAATAAAACACCTCGTCTCCAGATTCACTCCAGTAGATGAGCGAATTGCTATAATCCGTATAAAAGCGAAGTTCTTCTACATCAGTCTCATTTGCGGCCATGCTCCGACAGAAGATAAAGATGAACAGATCAAAGACATATTTTACGAACGCCTAGAAACAGCATATGACCGTTGCCCTGGCAATGACATCAAAGATTTTTATGCAAAAATCTGAAGGGAAAATATCTTTGGCCGTCGCCGTCGGAAAATTCAGCCTCCATGAAGAAACATTAGACAACGGCATAAGGTTGATTAACTTCGCGGCAGCAAAAAACATGGTAGTTAGCAGCAACAGATTCAAGCATCTCGATATACACAAGGCCACTTAGATTTCTCCCGATCGAAGAACGAGAAATCTAATCGATCATGTTATGATAGACGGAAGGCATTCATCCAGTGTTTTAGCAAAGGTACGCACCCGTCTTAATGTAGCAGCATAGATGCGATCTAATGTAACACGGAAACTCGATGTCCAAAAGCTGTAAATACAACAGATAGCAGAAGCCTACTCAGCTCAACATACCCAACTGCTTGACGAAAGCACCCCTTGTCCCGATAATAATATAGAAGCACAGTGTCAGAGAATTGCCCACTCCCTACAAACGGCAGCAAAAGCAACACTTGGGTACCAAAGACCACCATCAAGAAATCCGTGGTACGATCAGGAGTGTCATAATGCAACTGATATGAAAAACGCAGCGTGTAGGGCAAACCTGCGGAAAGTAGCAACACGTAATCCGATGGAGAACTATTGGGAGAAAGGGAGAGAGGAGAAACGTATTTTCAGTAAAAAGAAGAAAGAGCAAGAAAAACATGAGCGTGAGCAAATCGAGATGTACAGGAGTCAGAATGAAGTCCGAAAATTCTACCAACGGGTAAAACATCAAACCGAAGGTTTGGTGCAGGCACATCCTTCTGTAGAGATAAAGAAGGAAACCTGGTGACAGATACATACAGCGTGCTGAAAATCTGTAAGGAACATTTTGAAAACCTTCCGGTATCAAATAGTGGCGGTGAAAAGGATACCCCAGAACCAATAAGAGATGATGGTATAGAGTGTATACCACCTAGCCAAGATGAGGTCAGAATAGCAATTAATCGGCCGAAGAACAAAAAAGTAGCAGGTGCCGATGGGTTACAAGCCGAACTATTCATGCACCAATTATTGGAACCTCAGCATCCTGTGTCCCGGTCACAAAAAGGAGACAATACGATATGTGCCAACAATAGAGGAATTAGCCTTCTTCCCATCGCATATAAAGTGATATCCAGAGTACGGTGTGAACGACTGCCGCCAATGACATTATTGGACCATACCAATACGGCTTCAGACCCGGCAAATCCACCATTGATCACATTGATCACGAAAAACACATCGACACATTCCACCTATTCGTCGACTATAAAGCCGCATTCGACAGCCCTATCCGTTCAAAGGTGTATAAAGCCATATCTGCGTTTGGCATTCCTGCAAAATTAATACGGCTATGCAGGATAAATTTAACTGGCACAAGATCAGCATTTAAAGTCGGAAATGACCTTCAATACCGAATGAGGATTCAGACAAGGTGACAGTTTGTCGTGTGACATTTTTAACATCCGTCTTGAAAAGGCCATACGAGATGCAAATGTGTACAGAAATGGCTCTTTGTACCAAACAGCATATGTTACTCGCCTACGCCGACGACATCGACATAATGGGTTGAACATTGAAAACGGTAACAGCCACCTTTGAACAAATTGAGAAGGAGTCTGCCAAAGTGGGTCTGACAGTAAATGGCGAGAAGCCCAAGCTGATGGTATCAGCGCCAAGACGTCCAGTAAACTCGGACCAACTGTGAAACTTGAGAATTACAGCTTCGAGGTAGTAAAAGATTTTATACACCTTTATTTAATTAATTTATTAATTTTTTATTTTAATTGACAATTGAATTTAACGCCCATTGTCGTCAACCATTATCGATTACTGCAAACAATCGATAGTTATTGTCATATTGCAAACGTCATCTCTGTGCCACAATGACAACACAACACAGAGTTGTATTCTCTTTTTGCGTACACAATTTGGTACATTTTTAATAATTTTGTGGAGACAAAAATTCCAATACAAATACAATACCCCCTCCTTGGCGACCCCCTCTCTCTCTTATAGTATTTACACCGTACAAATTGTACAGAAAAACAAATCAAATATTTTCTGTTTGACACATCACTGACATTCGAGATTTTTTTTATTTGTTAATTATCAAGTTTTTGCTGCTGCAGCTGCGGGTGGAATTAAATCAACGAACGGCAAATTGTCCAAAAAATATTGCAGTGATTCATACGCCCCCCGATATTAAGTAGACCAGTGAAATTAGTTTATTCGGAAGCGATAAATATGGCAGCGGAAATAAAGCCCTCGCCCAAACGCAACGAACGTTTCAGCAGCAAAAAACCAGAACTGCTGAGCAAATTGGAGGGCAGTGCCGATGACATTAATGCAGCTATACTAATACCGGGCGAGAATGGTGTCATCAGTGTGTCAGACGACAAGACCATTAGAGTGTGGTTGAAACGAGACTCGGGCCAGTATTGGCCCAGCATTTGCCAATTTATGCCCAGTGGCTGCACTTGCCTCTATTATTTGCAGGAAACACGTCAGTTGTTTGTCGGGCAAGAGAATGGCACGGTAACGGAGAATACCCTGTCGGAAGATTGCAACCGTTTGACATTTGTTCGCGACCATTTGGCGCATCAGGCCCGCGTTATGGCTGTGGTCTATTCGAAGCCACACAATTGGGTGTTGTCGTGCAGCAAAGATAAGACATTCGCCTATCACTGTTCGGAGACTGGCAGGCGAATTGGTCAGTACAACTTCGAGACACCCTGTACGGCGCTGCAGTTTGATGCTCCGGCCAAATATGCATTTATTGGTGATCATGCCGGTCAGATAACCATGTTGCGTTGTGACACCCAGGGTGGGGTGCAGCTGATAACCACCTTTAAAGGCCACACGGCAGCCATACGCTGCCTCAAGTGGGTGGAGGGGCCTCAACTACTGTTCAGCGGAGCTTGCGACCAGGCCGTTATTGTTTGGGATGTGGGCGGTAAACGTGGCACCACCTACGAACTGCAGGGCCACAAAAACAAGGTCACCTCCCTGGCCTATGCCAATCACACGCAACAGTTGATTAGCTGTGCCGAGGATAATGTGGTCGTTTTTTGGGAAATGAATGCCATGCGCAAAGAAGTTCCTAACTGGGTTGAATCGAACAGTTGTCAAATCTGTAGCCGTCCATTTTTCTGGAATTTCCGTTCGATGATGGATCAAAAACAAATCGGTTTGCGTCAACATCATTGCCGCAATTGTGGCCGGGCCATATGTGATAATTGTTCGCAGAATCGTATCAACATACCGATAATGGGTTTCGAGTTTGATGTGCGGGTCTGTAATGCCTGTTACAATGAATTGCATGCAGTGGAAAGGCCATCGCTGGCCTCATTTCATGATGCCAAACATTCGATTGTCTATATGGATTTGGAGGAGGAGCGCAAACGTCTGCTGACCGTTGGGCAGGATCGTGTTATTAAGATATGGGATTTGAATACCATTTGGGAGTAAAACAAGAGGAGGGATGGAATGACGAAAGAGAGAGATGGTAATTCTATAATTTCAAATTATAGATAATCGAAAGAAGGATATCCCTTATATATTTACAAATCGAAACAGAAAAATATTAACATGTGTAGAAACAACAAAACAAAAAACAAGAAAATCTTTATAAACTATTATTAAATAATGTAAATAAAGTATTAATATTTAAGGACTGAAAAATCAACAACAACAAAGAAAAAAGAAAAATCAAATGTTCTATTATATTATATATGAAAAATATATATAAAAAATAATTTGGTGTTTTTTTTTTCTAATAAACAAAAATTTAAAAAAATGAAACAAATTTTTATAATTTGTATTAAAAATATTAAAAAATATTTTTTAATAACAAAATATGGGATTTTTAAAGTTTTTTTTAAATAGTAAAATTTTTATTTTTTTAAATGTTCCTATCAAACAGATTTTTTTCAATTAGGTTTTTATTAATTTTCGTCAGCTTTATAAAAATATTCATATTCTCGTTTTTTAATGTTTACAAACAAATATAGAATTAAAAACCATTTTTAATTTTTTTGTGGAATATTCCTATAATTTTTATAATTTTTTTTTTTTTTTTGAAACAGCCGTAATTTTTTATAATTTTTTTAAATTCCCACAATTTTTATATATTTTTTTATAAATTTAATTAAAATACCATATATTTTTTTAAATCTACGCCGATAAATTTCTCATTTCTCGAAAAAATATTTTCTAAAAATCCACACTTTTAAATTATTTTTGAAATCAACGTCTTTTAAAAAATATGAAAAAAAATCCAGGCCATAAAAAATATTTTGTGAAAAATCCAGGCCTTCCAAAAATATTTTTTAAAAAATCAAGGCCTTGAAAAAAATATTTTTTAAAAAATCAACGTCTTGAAAAAACATTTTGTAAAATATCCACGCTTTTCAAAAAATATTTTTTAAAAAATCAACACTTGAAAAATATTTTGTAAAAATTCACGCCTTTGTAAAAATCCACGCTTCGAAAAAATATTTTTTTTTATTTCAGGCTTTGAAAAATAATATTTTAAAAAATACACGCTTTGAAAAAATATTTTTTCAAAAAAGCCACGCTTTAAAAACTTTTTTTTCTAAATCCGCGCCTTGATTTTTTTTTAATCCACGCATTGAATACTTTAGTTTGTTAAATCCACATTGAATTTTTTTAAATCCACGATTTGATTTTTTTTTAATCTACGACTTGAATTTTTTTTTGATTATTATCTGTGAGATAATGCACCTAAGCAACTATTATCTTCCAAATAATAGACCTAGGTGGTCATTATCAAAGAAAAAATGGTCCTAAGTCCCATGGACCCACGTGAAGATAATCTGTGGGATAATAGATCTACTGTGATTTTTATATCTGAGATAATTGACACAATTTACCATTATATACTTTCTGAGCTTTGAGATAAAGACCATTATCTCTGAGATAATGGACCTCAAAGATAAAGGACATAAATGACCAGAATCCCAAAGGTAATGGACCTATGTGACGATTATCTTAAAGATAATGGAATTAAGGGGCCATTATCTCTAAGATAATGAGCCTAAGGGGTCATTATCTCAAATATAATAGACGTAAGGAACGATTATATTAAAGATAATGGTCCTAAGGGGCCATTATTTTAAAGATAATGTTCCTAAGGGGCCATTATCTTAAAGCTAATGGGCCTAAGCTCCCATTATCTCAAAGATAATGGACCTAAGCTCCCATTTTCTCAAAGATAATGAGCCTGAGGGGCATTATCTCAAAGATAATGAACCTAATGTGCATAATCTCAAAGACAATTAGCCTGAGGGGGCATTATCTCAAAGATAATGAACCCAAGTCCCATTATCTCAAAGATAATTATCTATAAAAACTAATAAAACTATGTTGTCACTACCTTTGAAATAGGTTAACGAAGTGGCCAAAATTTCATAAATAATGGACCGAATAGCCCACAATATAAGAAAAACTCCATTTGTTAGCTGCTCCTTAAATGACTACATACTTCAAATACTATGTATTTTTATCTAAAAATGCAAATAAATGAAATTAATCTTTATTACAAAAAAGGAAAAAATTCTGGAATCTGTTGCACTTATCATCTTTTTCATTCTTCCATCCTCTCCGTCGTGCCTTACGTCGTGGCAAATAAATACAACAAATTCTTGGCAAATTGAATTATCTCCGTTCCACCCAATTTCGATTCACCATAGACGCGGTCAACGAATGTTATAGGCACTTCACCAATTGTATAGTTCAATTGACGGGCACGCACTAACATTTCCATTTGAAAGACATAACCTTTGGAGACGCAACTGGCAATGCACTTTTCCAGCGCCCGTTTCTTATACAAACGGAATGATCCTGTTAAATCGGAAGCCCTCGGACGCAGCAGTAATTGGGACAAGAAGTTGGCACCTCTTGATATTAACTTGCGTTTGAAATCCCATCCAAAGACACCTCCGTCACCCATGTAGCGAGTACCCGACACTATGTCATAGTCATGTTTCTTTTGCAATTCAATGAATTGGGGAATAAATTTAGGCTGCAACAACAATAAAAAGAAAATTTAGATAAAAATTTGGGCTATACAGGAAATATGGAAATATATGCAAATTAGACTTACATGATGACTCAAATCCGCATCCATAATAATAATAAAGTTACCGGTGGCATGTTCAATGCCATGTATATAGGCTGTGCCCAAACCCAATTTACCCTTACGTGGCCTCAGCAATATCTTGTCTTCACCATAGATTTTTTGCAAATCCTTGGCCACCTCCAAAGTGCCATCGGGACTATTGTCATCAATGATGATAACCTCGAATTGATAGCCACTGGAAATATGTGTACATTAATTATTAGCTGTGGATCACACTGAAGCAACAGTCACCGGCATTTTTGGGACCGAGAAGGCTTCCCTTATCCGCGGATCACTTACCTTGCTGTCATATATTTCATGATCAGCCATATTATAATGGGCAGATTATCCTTTTCATTATAGGTGGGGAGGAGGATACTGTACTTGGACTCAACATCCTTCGTCATGATGTATTATTTTCTCTACTTTCCTTTTTAATCCAATTAATACCAAAAAAATCAGCTTGTTATCAGAGAACTCGAAACGAAAGAACCAAACTTAGTTAAAAACGTTCCACATACATTGAAAGAACCAATCATAATTAAACACGTTCCACATGCCTACTGAATGATAAAGAACGTAACGGCGACGTCAGTGTATTGTTGTCGTGTCAAATTGAACGCAGTCTATACACATAAGGGAACCATGTGAACTAGGGATAAGAAAGACGACTAAAATCCAAGGCTTGGACTTTTTATAAATATATTTTAGAGATTTAGCCAAGGCGTGGACTTTTTAAAAATATATTATGCAGATTTAGCCACTGCGTGGATTTTTTAAATATATTTTTTGGAGATTTAGTCAAGGCGTGGATAAAAAAATTTGTCTTTGAGATTTAGCCAGGGCATGGATAAACAATTTTGTCTTTGAGATTTAGCCAAGGCGTTGATATAAATTTTTAAGTTCTGAATTCGGTCAAAATAGATCCTTTTTGGGCATAGCCATTAAAGTCCCGCCTAATTTTAGGTATTTGGACGCCCTCATTTCTCTGAAATGTACACTTTGCACCCGGAGGACGAAAAAGAACGGAAAATCTTCAATATAGGTTCGTGTTTTGGACATAATGTCGGGCGCCATTATTCAAATTTTGGAGATTTCAGAGGCGTTTTCCAAACGAAATAGCTGTATTTCGAATACTTTGAGAATAAACTGCCTCCTTGGAGAACTTAGGTCCATTCTATTACATAGCCCCCTTAAACAGGGTTCCACACATTTAAGTTGCTTTAGCTGTTCCAGCCACATTGGTATAACGTCGGTCGCCATTGTTGAATTTTGAAGATTCCAGGGGAATTTTCCAAACGAAGTTGCTGCAATTTGGAATATTCGAGTACTCAGAGGATAAAATACCCCTTGGAAGAAATTTTTCAATTTAGGTTCATGCTACGACCTAGTCCCATATAAAGGGTCCGTGGCTCTAACGGTCCTAGCCACTTTTTATCTCTTGGGACAAATTTTCCAATTTCGGTCCATGCTACGACATAGTTCCCATATACAGGGCCCGACACATGTAAGTTGCTTTAATAGTCCACATTTTCCAAGCGAAACATTTGACAGAAACATTTTTTAAAAGTCCACGAATTTTAAATGTTCTATTAGAGTTTATTAAGTTTGAATTTTAAAGGTCTTAACCTCACTTTAAAACGATGTGGCTGGTATTAGGATTTTCTATATCGTGACAAGAAACGGATCCACAATATTTTGGATTTTCTAGTTGATTTTTTACCAACTAATACCTGCGCAATTTGGTAGAGGGTATATCGAGTGGGCCTGACCGAATTTTCAAGACTTTTTTTTTACGGTTTGGAGAAGTTTTTGTAGCGTAGCAGATGGAATCTGAAACCTGTGACTTGGTATTTCGGATTCTCAGAGTATAAAAGACACTGAGCTGAATAGTAACATCGGGTGCCAATATTAGAATTTGGGAGATTTCAGAAGCATTTTCTAACCGAAGTTGTTGTAATTTGGAATTTCGAGTACTCAGAGGATAAAATACCCCTTGGGAGAAAATTTTCAATTTAGGTTCATGCTACGACATAGTCCCCATAAACATGGTTCCATACATTTAAGTTGTTTTAGCGGTTCCAGCCGCATTTTCCAAGTGATGTGGCTTGGTATTTTGGGTTCTCGCAGTGTTAACGAATCTGAGATATCGTCGGGCGCCATTATTGCAATTTTGAAGTTTCCAGAAGTATTTTCCAAACGAAGTTGCTGTAATTTGGTATTTCGAATACTCAGAGGATTAAATACACCTTAGGAAAAACTTTTCAATTTTGATTCATGCAACGACATAGTCCCCATATACAAGGTTCTGCTCATTTAAATTATTTGAAAGGTCTAAGCAGTTTTTTCTAACCGATATGGTTTGGTAGTTGTAGTTCTCAGAGCATAAAATAGTGTGGGTTTTTAAAAGAGTAACGTCGGGCGCTATTATTCAATTTTTGAAGGTTTCAGAGGTATTTTCCAATCGAAGTTGCTATAATTTGGTATTTCGGGTACTCAGGGGATGAAAGACTTCTTGGGAGAATATAGGTCAAATGATACGACATAGGTTAAATGCTAGACATATACAGATTGTGGCGCATTTTAGGTACCCTTTAGGTCATAGCAGCATTTTTTCCTATTGGTTCTGAGAGTATAAAATACTCTATGTCTTTAGATGAGTAACGTCGGGCGCCATTATTCAGTTTTTGAAGGTTTCAGAGTTATTTTCTAATCGAGTATTCAAGGGATGAAAGACTTCTTGGCAAGACATAGGTCAAATGCTAAACATATACAGAGTCTGGCCCATTTTAGGTACCTTATAGCTCATAGTCGCATTTCCCCCCATCAATATGGCTCTAATTTAGTATTTTGGGTACACAGATGATAGAAGTTCTCTGGCGGAAATACATTTTAAGATAGGTCCATGTTTTGAAATATTATAAGTATTTTAAAGATCCAAGCCGCATTTGTTTTAAATCGAAGTGGCTGTACTTTTTATTTCGGATTCTCAGAGGATAAAAAGCCTTGGCCTTGACAGAAATATTTTTTAAAAGTCCACGAATTTTAAATGTTCTAAGTTTGAATTATTAGAGACATTTTAAAGGTCCTACCCCTGATTTAAAAAATAAGTGGCTGGTATAAGGGTCCTCATTTTCCTGACAAAAAAAGTTTTGGCATAGCTCATTACCATGGATCCTCAACATTTTGGATTTTCTAGTTAATTTTTTTCCCAACTAATATCTGTCGCGAATTTGGTAGAGGGTATATCGAGTGGACCCGACTGAATTTTTAAGATTTTTTTTACTTTTTGGAGAAGTTTTTGTAGCGTAGCAGATGAAATCTGAAACCTGGGGAAGACCCTTATCGCCTAAACCAACAAAGGTTCAAATACATGTAGAGGTTCATAAGGAACTATGTGAACCACTTTATGTTTGTTCCATATGGTTCATTTCACATGTCCCACAGGGTTCATTTCAGCAGTTACTAGTTGGGACTACTAAGTCGAAATGAGAATGGGGATATTACAAGGGCAAAATATTTAAAAAAAATGTACGCATTGGTTAAGGTCTCCAAAAATGAATTTTAAAAATCCACGCCTTGGCTATGGCCTCCAAAAATGAATTTAAAAAATCCACCCCTTGTTTAAGGCCTCCAAAAATGAATTTTAAATTGGTACTTTGTGTACTCAGAGAATAAAAGAAATCTTGGGTGTTCAATTCAATGTAGCCGTTCATTTTAATGAACTATGGGAACCCCTCGTTGTTTGTTCCATAAGGTTCATTTCACACGGGATTCACTTCAGCAGTTATTAAAAGGGATTACTTAGGCGCAATTTGACGATATTCTCGGCTAGACCTCCAAAAATGAATTAAAAAAATCCACGCCTTGTTTTTAGGCCTCCAAAAATGAATTAAAAAAATCCACGCCTTGTTTTTAGGCCTCCAAAAATGAATTAAAAAAAATCCACGCCTTGTTTTTAGGCCTCCAAAAATTAATTTAAAAAAATTCACGCTATAACGGTAATTACCCTTTTGACATTTGCTGGTTTGCCTGCGCATGCCCATTTCCACCCCTTATTTATGTGTTTGGAAAATTGTCAAAATTGTTGTTATTTTTTGTTTTGTTGGTGGCTGTCAAAATATGAGTGAGAGAGGGAGAGAGAGAGAGTGAGTGATTGGTCTAATCAGACAACGAGGAAAACCAGTCACCAACAAGGGTTGACTTAAGAGCTTAGCCTTTTTTTCTGTCCTGGTCGGAAGTGAAAAAAATTAAAATAAAATAATTGAAGAGAAAAATTTAATAAAAAAATTATTTAGAAAATAAAGAAATTGTGAAAGTGAAGTGAAAAATTCGAGAATAAAAAATCATTAAGAAAAAAAAAAATTAAAGAAAATTAGAAGGAAAATTTGTGAAAATATTTTTGGTGCAGTCGGGGAAAAAATTAAATGTGTAACAAAGTGTGTGTTTACACAAAGTGTGTGATTGAGTGAGTGATTAAAAAAGAGGGGCAAAAGGGAAATACCCTCCACCTTTTCAAAAAAGAAAATTAATCAAGTGAATTGCTTCACTTGAAAGTGAAAAAATTAATTTTATTCAGAAAAAATCCGCAACAAAATCGTTATCATTCGCAGCAGCAGCAGTACCATCCTAGGCCAGCAGCAGTAGCAGCAGAGTCCGCCCGCCCCCTTCAAAACGTCCATGCAAAACAGCAGCAATGTCTAAGAAGATTCCTTTCAATGTGGTATTTGCCTCCGGTAAGTCAGTCCGGTATTGGCCATTAATCTCGATGGGTCAACACACATACATACGTATGTATGTGTGCCCTTATGTAAACTGAGGCCCAAAAAAATTAAAAAACAAAAATTGTAATAAATATTAAATTAACTTGTACTTAGTATAGCTGTGATTGTGTGTGTGTGATTTTTATAAGGTCACAAAGAAGGTCCTCAAAGAAGTTCGAAAACATCTGACTCTATTCGCAGACATCGACACACACACACACACATTCCGCAACTCATATCCCATTACCTTGTGTGTGACACATTTTTTTGGTTTTGCTGTTGTTGTTGTGGGAATTTTTGATTAAAACAAACGAATCCCGATTGATTGATTTTTCCATTTGAATTCACCATGATGATCCTTTTTGGGGGGATGGAAAATAATTCCTGATTTATGGTCACAAATTAACACCTTTAAGGGTGAGCGACGTGCTCGGCACGTGTGGGAGTGATTTATTATGGAGTTTTATAGGGTGTTGAAATATTTAAATACAACAAATAAATCCTGTTCTAGATGGAGACCTCCTGAAAAAAATCATTTAAAAAATCCACGCCTTATATATGTCCCCGAAAAAAAATTCATTTAAAAATCCACGACTTATATATGTCCCCGAAAAAAATCTTTTAAAAATCCACGCCTTATATAG